GAGAGAACCCACGCAAACACGGGGAGAACATGCAAACTCCACACAGAAAGACCCCGGCCTGATGTTGGAATTGAACTCAGGACCTTCTTGCTGTGCGGCAACAGTGCTAACCACCGTGCCACCGTGCTGCCCTCACCTCGATCCATTTTGAGAAATAGTCCACAAAAACAAGAATATAAGCATTCCCTCTTTGTGTGCGGGGCAGTGGGCCAACATAGTCCACCCCAGCGTACTCCCATGGTCTTTGTGGCTGGATAGGGACCATAAGGCCTGCTGTTTTTCTTTGACTTGGCTTAGTGGCTTGACATGAACAACATGAGACCACATACTTTTTGCCAGCTGCCTGGCACTTGTCATCCCAGTGAAACTGCACGTCCTTTTTAGTGAGGGCGAAGAGTGGCTCTGCATGGCGGGCGTAGTCCTGTACAAAGCGGCGATAGTAGCCAGTTAGGCCAAGGAACTGTCGCACCTGCTTTGTTGTGGTCGGCACTTTGAACTCAGTCACGGCTCTCACCTTGTCAGTCATAAAGTCCATCCCAAGAACAAAGGGGGATGACAGGTCCTGCACTATCACAAACCGCTGCTAGACTTGCTTGCCCATAAATCCAATGGTTAACCAGGTTATTCCCAATGGACTGCAGTTAGTGGCATTGGCCAGTCTTATGGGTGGAGAATCCCACGGATTCTTTAATGACTGATTTTGGTTCTTCTCAGGTAACAGGTCTGCATTTACTGCTGAAAGAGATGCCCCTGTATCCAGTGTGGCATCCAGAGCTGCCCCATTAAAGTTCACTTTAACTCTAAGAGGGGTGTTCCATGGTGATTGTGAACTTTCACCTTCAACGTGATTGAGCACAGGTGGCACACTTGGATCTGACATAGGCAATGAGGGCTGAGTTATTGGCTGGGGAGAGGGTTGCCCCTGTGAAACACTCTCCCCCCCTGAAGTTTCCCTGCCTCCTGCCAGCTGGTCTCGTCTCCCTGACAACGCCAGTTTCATCTGGATCTGTAGGCTGAGTTACTGGATGTTGGTTAGGAGGCAGCGTTTGAGGAAGCTCCGGAGCCATCCTGGGAGAGTGTCGAGCTCCCTGAAAATCAGTGGAACAGTTAGGGCACGTATGAGATGTAACACCAGGCATGGCACATTTAAAACAGCGGGGTCCTCCCTCAGCTCTGTTTTTCAGCTGAACTCGGGAAGGCTGTGAAAGGCTGGTGCCAAGAACGGAATGCAGCTCATGGGCATGCAGCACTAGATCAATTACTGACCTTACAGGCGTTCCATACAGTGCTACTCTGTACTTCTCCACTGCGTGTTTACAGATTAGCTCAATTTTCTCCTGTTCAGATGGCGGGTTCCTCAGTCTCCTGAATTCACTGAGCATATGGGCAACAAATGTTGGCAGAGGCTCTTCGGGGTGCTGGAAACGGTCCAGGATGCTTCTCAAAATCTGCTCCTGGTTGTCAGCAGGCAAGAAGACAGCTCTGAAAAGTTCACAAAACTTAGCCCATGTAGATACATGAGGAATGAGCACATTAAACCACTTTCTTGGTTCCTTAGCTAGGAAGTGTGGTAGCTCTCTGAGGATTTGGGCGTCTGTTAGGTCTAAGGAGGTTTTATAAGCATTAACAGACTGTAGCCATTCTTCTGGGTGAAGACTGCCATCATTAGCAAACACATTGGGCTCCAATTTAGCTTGGTGCAATGCCGCAGCAAGGACTCTGGTTGTATTAATTAGCTCCAGCGAATCTGACTGGGATTGGGACAAGGCCCTGGCGGGCTGCGTGGGGCCAGGTGCTGAGATAGATTGCTCGGTTTCTCTGGTTGGTAGGCCTGGCACATATGGAGTAGAGGAGGCCTGAGGAAAAGGGGGAGTAATCTGGGCAGCTGGTACTTTTGGGACTGGCCTTTTTTGTTGAGTCCACTGTTCCAAAATATCCCTCTGGAGGTCCAAAGAGAAGATGTTCGGGCGCCATTTTGTAATGTCGAGTTGTGTTTAGTGGTTGAGAGGAGGCGGCAAAACACTTAGCAGGATAGTCGAAAGAATACACTCACGCTGGCTTTGGGAATTCCACAGCGTATTCTTTAATACACGTTCTCTTCGTCAAACATATATAAGCCCGGTTGAACAGCTGCAGCTTAACAAACAGCGCACAGTGTTCGTACAACCCATACGTTGCAAAAAAAAGGGTGTGTGGAGAGGTAAAACATAAAACCCGTCCCTCCTCATGCACTAGCGTGCAAGCACATGTCCACACAATCACAGAGAGAGTCAGTGGCGCATACTGATGACAAAATTAACCCTAGACGGGTTGTCTTAAAGAGACACCACACCATTGTGACTGTTACAAGTAACTGGACTTATTTTAGTTTTGTCATTCGAATTAGTTTATATTTTTATTTTGTTTTGACTTTTTGGTTTTAGTTCAGTTTATTTTGAGTTTCAGTCCTTGTAATTATTTGTGTATTGAGGACAAATGTCAGAGGCAAGATGTAAGAAAAGCAGAACAGATATTACATTAAAAACAGAACTTTTTAGAGCAGTTGACTCAAAGTCTGATACATGTCCAGACTCTCAATAAAAAGCTTCATAAGGTAAGTTTTGAAAAATAATTTCACCAAATGTACAAACACTAAAACTAAAAGGACATTTTCCCTATATTGTTTTTTTATTTTAGTTAATTTGCTAAGCTTTATTTTTTTCAAAGATCTAGTTTTAAGTTTCATTTTAGTTAATTATAACAGGCTTGTACTAGTAACCTTTCTTGTTTCCTTTAAACAAACACCTACTAGCTGTTTCTGCTGTAATCCGTTGTTGTCTTATGCTAAGTTAAACATTTAGATTTTTATGCTAAGCTAAACATTTAGCCTTTTATGCTAAGCTAAACATTTAGCCTTTTATGCTAAGCTAAACGTTTAGCCTTTTATGCTAAGTTAAACATTTAGCTTTTTATGCTAAGCTAAACATTTAGCCTTTTATGCTAAGTTAAACATTTAGCTTAGCTGCAGCTTTACTGTACATCTGGGCACTGTATTGACAGACTGGCTGAGACAGGCTAAAGCTGTGACATTCAAATTATGAATGTTACTTTGTAAAAAAATATATTTTTTATTTTCATTATTATTAAAGGAAGATAAAAGGAATGACATTGAAAAAATAACAAAAATAACACAACATTGGCAGCAATGCAACTTAGTAATGAAAAATGCTCTCTTTCAAGGTAAAAACCTTAAGGATTTTCTACTTCTGGAAATAAAATTTGAAGGTTGAGTTTTACTGTGGCTTTCTATATACTTGCTAACACACTGTTGGCTAGTAACCGCTGGCATTCTGGCAGGAGATAACCCTGCAAACCATGTGAGAGTGCCAACTGTTGTACTTTCTAGCACTAAAATAAACATGAAAGGAAAGAAGCTTATACTGCAAAAAAGGCAAACAGGAGAAGGATTGGTTAGAGTTTTGCTATGTTCACAGATGAAGAGGTCATTGCTTTGAAACTGCAGAGCCAGAAACCTAGGGGGCCTTATGTTTGCCTGGAAGGCTGAAAAATATGAAGGAGGACCTTATTTTCACAATTTTACAGTTTTTCCTATTAATTAAGCTCTCCACCATAGCCACTCTGTAATTTTACACATCTATCATGTAGAAAACTAAGATGTATTATTGAAATTGTACTATTGCAGGGACCTAATGTGTAGACAGAAAGGGGATTTTCACTCGTCTGGCCCACTTAACCGCAGGCTTTATGTGGCACATGGTGTAAAATGAGCTTAACATCCCTGTTTTTAAGGCTAGAAACTTCATCACAAACAAATAATGTTAAAATTATTATTTTAGTAATTTTCATGTACTCACGCATTACCAGTACCAGATCACATCTAATTTAGCTGTGTACTTATTGTTAAGAATGCCAAGATTTGAAGCAAGCATGGAAAAATAATACCCTAGGCATGCTAAAGCCTTTCTCTTTCACACAGCTGTAGGTACACCCACACACGCTTGAACATGCACACACATTAACTCACAGCAGGCCACGCATACACAAACTTACACACGCTTTCACCCAGTGAGTAAAGTGCAGTGTGCCCTGACCATAGGCCAGGCTTGTCCATTACTCAGAAGCTGTTTACAAGCTAATCCATGTGTGGTCGATGACTCACTGAGCTTTGCTTTTGTTCCTCCGTTGGCTCATCAAGATTCAGGCATGATGCATCGGGGTTAAAGACCCAGCTATTTCCCTCTGCTCCTCTCAGATCGACTCAGTTTAGATGGCAGAAATCCCCCCCTCACTTTCATCCCTCCACACATTTGGGTCACATTGCAGCTGGTGTTGATCTACTTAATCAACATTTCCCCATTAATTACTGCAGCTATTTATAACACAATCACTTGTTTAATCAGCACAGGCTCAGTATTGAATGCACAAGTCCAGTTGGGGGATCCGTAATCTAACTCGACAAGTGCAACCTGTGACTTAACTGTATTGATTCTCTCTCTCTCAGGTTGCATCCATAGATCCCACGGGTACATATGAGCAGATGAACTGCTTATATAGACACGCTAACAGTCTTTATCGCAAACTTGATACCACATGCACACTCCCATTTGCTCGCACACACTTCAAAACCACAAATCGATAGTGTTTTCCACTTGCAACATGTTTTCTGCTTTGTTGTATTGTTACAGTCTTCAGATTACAGTCCACAGCAAGAGGCTCTGATGAAGAAACAGGCTGCTACACTGGAAGAAATCAAGACCTTGACCAATCAGGTACACACAAGAAATTCAATTAAAACGGAAATTATTGTTTTTGACAGTCCCATTCCCCTGGACCAGCTAACTAATACACTGGGGTCCTATGCCAGCCATCTCTCTTATACCGTTAGAAATCTTGGAGTGGTCCTGGACAGCTCACTCAAGTTAGACAAACAAGTTGCCTCAGTTGAGAAAGCGGGTTTTTACCAGCTACGTCAAATCTCCAAGGCAAAGCCCTATATTCCACATAAAGACCTTGAAAAGCTTATCCATGCCTTCTTTACTTCGAGACTAGACTATTGCAATTCTCTGTACATGGGCCTCCAATTCTCTCTCCTCCAGTGTTTGCAATTAGTTCAAAATGGCGCAGCACGCCTCTTAACTGGCACCAGAAGGCATGATCATATCACCCCAGTTCTAGCCAATCTACACTGGCTCCCTGTTAAATACTGTATCGTTTTTAAAATCCTTTTGTATACTTTTAAAATGTTAAATAACCTGGCGCCCAGCTACCTAACCTTCCATCGGGTCTGCAGTTGTGCAACTCTAACTCTAACTGTTTTTAATTGTTTTTAACTGTTCTTGTTGCCTTTGATGTAATCTGCTTTGCTACCTTGTGTGAAGCACTTTGATGGACACTGTCCTTTTGAAATGTGCTATAGAAATAAAATATTGATTGATTGATTGACACAGTAACACCAGGGCACACTGGTTTTATTTTTTTTCTCTTAGAAACATGAAACTACACTTGCACACCTTATTCGTGTTTCCACTAAATCTGCATATTTGTAAAAACCTCTGACAACAGCCAAAACAGTCATGTTTACCAATAGAAACTCTGAGAGGTCCTTGACTCCTGATCCTTAGAAATGACTATACTTTAATACCTGATTTTTGGGGGACTGTCACAGAAAAAATAAATAGATGTCCTTGCATTCTTTGGCAGTTCCAGAGTCCTTTAAATAAGTTCTTACGTAGGTCTGCCCATCAGTGAGTAAAAATTAGAGCATGTCGCTTGTGTGTGAGCTAGCATCAACCAAGGGTACTCACCCATTATTCCATGTCACGCACACTGATCGGGAATAACCGCCTGCCTAATTTTGTGCTGGTCCCGCTTTTGCAGCCAATACAGCCCTGACCTGTGGATGCAACTACAATGGGTTGTCAACCAGTACCCGACCTTGATAAAGATAATGATAGAGATTTAATGTTTTACACTGTACTTGCAAAATCACAGAGAGAATTTACACAAACCTTACCTTCATTGTACCAAGAGTTTTTTGGACTTTTCTGTCCAAACAAATGTAGTGTAAATCTGACTACATTGATGGACTTTCAACTGTTTTTCAACCACACTGCCAACCATGGCCATCTGTCCTTTCAGTGGATGTACGTAATGCTGCGGCGTGACACATCCAGTTTGGGGGATGCAGAAAGTACACATCAAGCTCCCACCGCTGTAAATGATGTCAGAATGTTTTTTATGACAATACTTTGCTTAGGATTGGTGAAATCTTGGCAGTTATTATTGTGAAAAGAGGTGTGAGAAGACAGCTTAGACACTGACGTGCGAATGCCAGATGGATGGTGTGTTTTTATGTCTCACCAGTAGTATTAGCTTGCAGATAGAGTTTTCAATATTGCGAGAGGCGGGGGAAGAAATTCAAGTGAGGCTTTAAAAACAGATGAATGAAGAGAACTTAATGTGAGCTAATGTATGCAGCTGTATTTAACATACTTACTGAATATTGAGCCACTTTTTTTCCATATTGGTAAATCCCTCACTCTTATTTGCAATCAATCAGTCAAACTTGGGTATAAGCCAGTTCAGGTCGATCTTTAGTTTTACCTGCACAAGCACAGAAAATCATTCTCTAAAGATTATGATAAGCACCTGCCTGAAAAGAAAAATGTGTGAAATCATGAAAATGTCAGCCCATTCTGTTGATAATCCTCTGACTAACCTTTGGCCCCTTGTGTTGGCAGCTCAATCAAGAGGCCCTGAAGGAGCACGATCAGAAAACAAGATCGCTGGCACGAGAAGTGCGAGAGGCCGTTAATGTATGTGTGGGGGCGCACTTCCCTGAGTTGGTCGACGAGGTCGACAAGAGTGGGGGGGGAGTGGGCTTCTATGGAGATGTCTTCCTAGGTTAGATGTGCCTTTTGATTACCTCTCTGTGTAACTCTGCTATAAATGTTTTGTTGTTTTTTTTTTTACTTTTATATCTGCTTTCAAACTGTTACATAACCTATAATCAGGGTGCGGATATGAAATCGTAGAAGATTGCTTAATGAGAGGTTCTCAGAGTGAGGTTGCAATTTAGTTGTGCTAATTCATAGGTGGGTGTATACTTTAGGGAGCTGATAATGATGTTTTCACAAATGTCCAGGTACTCCAAAATTAGATGATTTTGAAAAGATTTTTTTTAGTTTCTATTTAACTCTTTATTTCTGTTTCTTTTCACCATTGAAAAAACCCCCCACCCTAAATTAGGCGACAAAGTGACAAATATCTTGCAGATGTGGGTTCTGTAGCTCTAAAAGCCTTAGAGAGGTGCTTGTGGTCTCCTTTCTGTTCTCTTAAGTTAAAAATGGGACTAAATGTAGATGCAAAAATGGGTTATCAGAGTCTGCAGGGCTGAACGAGACAATGGCACATCAGTTTGCATATGTGATAAGTGCTCGCTTGGACTCTGTGATGTAGCCACTACATATGTTTTGCAAAATTTAAAAAAAAAACAAAGGTAAATTTGCTTTGTAACAAGTTTGAAGCTCCTGTGACATCAATTCCACGTATACGGCACATCCTGTATTGCATGTAAAGCATGAAAGTTTGGAAAATGTAGACGATTGCTTATAATGTGGCTCAACCTATTTTTAGTGTACTCTTTGGATTTTCTCCTATTCTATTCCTGTGATGAATTGATGATTAATAAACTTACAGTTACTCAAATTATGTGTTATTTATTTTTCTATCACTAAAACTGCTACATCTTTTTATTTTTGTAGAGGTAGATTTGTTAAATTTCAGAAGGGGAGGTTTGTCTTTCTTAGCTAATCCCTGAGATATTATATTAACTGTAATTTGTTGAAGTGAAGTAATTATCATACTGACACATAGCAAAATGATATGAATCATCATATGAAAAGCAAATGAAGCTGAATCAGTGACTGGAACTTAAGTAAAGAGGTGATGGGAAATGAGGTTAGGTATTGTCTGCCAGTAACCCTTTCTCTTTTCTCCTGTCCACTGTCTCTCTTACTCTTTGCGCATTGCTTCAAACCTCAGTGTAATTTTGCACATTATAACCTGATTCACAATACCACATAATTGCTATGTGATGGATCACGTGCTCTTTTAAAACCAGAGCTATAATAAAGGCACGTGAATCAGAGATAATGCAGGTAGTCTGGGTAAAACTAAATAAATAAATAAATCCGGAAATTGCAGGGTTTCAGCTTAAATTTCAGCTACTTATGCCCTGCATCCTGTGAGAGTCATTTTTCCCCCTCAAGTGTTTACACGCATATGCATGCATTTATTAGTGAATGCAGCTTTTCTCTGACTCATCATGCTGTGCAATCTGTCCATTCATTTGATTTCCTTTTCCACGCGACACCCTTCTTCTGAATCAAATGACATGAGTGACATTTCAAAGTGGGGGATCTGGATAAATCTCTAGGAGACACAGCTTGTGCCCGAAAGTCCTGCCACCTCATGCACAACACAGATGAACTGTTAGCTTTCGGGTGTGAATCCAGTCAGCCCTGAATCACTGGGCTAATTATCTTACATAAGAATGAAGACATCTCTGGCAGGTTTGTCTCAAACCAGCTGGAAAGGGGATGGCCTGAGCAGGATCTCTCACCGACAGGGAACGCATGGCTACTCAGTGACACTGGATGAAAAGTCAAAAGGAGGAGGAAAGCGTGCAAAAGCAAAAGTTTTATACTGTTTTTTTTTTTTAATCAGTGAGATAAAAGTAAAGGTAAAGAATTTCCAAAGAAAAGTTAATTAGATCCTAGGTGATTTAAATGAATGGCATATGGTTGACCTGTCGCCCCCAACCAGTTGAGGTAGACGGCTGCCTGTTAAAGGGGTTTTTTCCTTCTCACTGTAACCTAGTGCTTGCTCATAGGGGGTCCACTGACTATAGTGCTTTTCTCCCTATTATTGTAGGGTCTTTAAATTTAATAGAATCTAATTAAAAAGTCTTGATATGTCATTTGGTATGCAATATACTTTTTTCTTTTACTTTCACCTCAATCCTTTTTTTAATTTTTAGAAATTATATCACTTGAAAGCACAAAAAACTGTTAATAGCTACCATCAGTGAAATTGTACTGAATCCTGGCAGTGGCTGAAAAGACAGTACTAGCCTTTGTCTGTTGCCGTCTGTGCTCAGTTGTGCCTCCCCTTGCAAAAGACCAGAGAAACTAAATTCTACAATCAAAAGCAGAATTCTGCACAATAGCCATATGAAACATTGAACATGCAAGGTTAAACGAACAGCTGACAAGAGATTTGGTATTTTTCAGTGGAATAAGCTCTAAAAATAGGGGTACTGCGAGGTACATGCACATTTTTTTTTCTACTTGTTATTTCCTGTGTGAGGAAGCAGGTCTGACCCACAGGAGGTGGAGTCAGGATCCGTAGCCCATCTTGGCTCGAAGTGGATGCCATCTTAGATGAATATTAAGCACCCACACCACCCACATAGACACCACCTGCCGAGGCTGCACTGTTCACAGCCTGTTTGTGGAGGATTCTGCGAGCTGCAAACTGCACTTTCTGTTTTTAAAGACAGTACGAGATTGGTGAAATTGGTTGATTTCTGTTCCTGGGTGCCCAACATAATCTCATTAACATTATAATTCTGGCATGGGATCAGCAGCCCAATGAGTGTGGCTCATCATCGTCGCAGTCACCCTCTTCTCCACTGTATCGCATGAGCGCTGAGGGCCTGTGAGAGGCACCTCCACCTCCTCAGAGATGCAAATTTGAGCGTCCTACATGTGTTGATGATATGGCCCTTTCACTTAAACACACAGACACGTACAAGTGCACAGACACCCACATACTTTAAAGTAGCTGCAGACAGTACTCTGACTACCTGAATCCTAATTTTCATGTTTCCCGGGTGGCAAAAGTTCATGTTTTAAGGCTCAGTTTGGTTGATTTATTCTGCACTTGCTCTTTCTGACATTTGGTTACCTTGTCGTGTAGTGATAGCTCCATTATAACTTTAACCTCTCTGGATTAAGAGCCTCCATCTCACAGTGAGTTAAGAGAACAGAGACACATCCTATGAAAACCCTGACAGCTGAATACACTGTTATGTAAACAGCAAAATGCCTGGGATCTGTTGTTGCTTTTGCAGTGTTATTGGTTCATAGTTAAAAATTTCAAGCAACAAGAAAAAAGTCTAGCACTCAGATTTCATTTAAAAAAAAACATAAATAAGTGATAATATTCTCCCAATTTCTGTTTCATGCAGAGCGGTCACTCAACATAAAAAAGAGAAGATGGATATTTTGTATAATGGTTCTGTTGAAGGTTTAAACAAAATGCATTTTGTTATTTGATGGGATCAACAGTTTGATGACTTTTGATTTAAGTTTCAAGAACTTACATGAAACACATGCTCTGCAGAAAGTAAGACAAATGTTTCCAATCTAACAATCTAACTAAGTTAAATCAATGAACTAACTCAATTAATAAGCATTGAACCTACATATTAGAACTTAGCAAAGAACATATTTTAAATGATATCACTGAAGCTTTGGCCAGCAACCTGTTGCAAAAAAATCATAATTTGTTCCAATTTCTTTAGTTAAATCTACAAAAAGGCCAAAGATAACAAATGACAGACAACAATGTGATTCCCTAAAAGTTATTAGCCAAAAATCTGGAAGAATCCAAGAGAGAGTGCCGACAGTTTTCTATAAAACACAGTGGAGGCTCTGTCGTGTCTAGGCCTACAGTGGTGTTAGGGATCTTTCCTAAATTGATGGAATTATGAACACAGACAAAACATGTGATCTTGATCCACTATCAGTACTATCTGACTATCAACAAACTCATTTTTCAGCATGACAGTGACCACAAACAAACTGCCAATAAAGTGAAAGGACACCTGGAAAGAAAATCTTTGATGTTGTCTGTGTATCTACAATAGCACATCTACAGTATATGAACATATTTTATTTAAATGTAGGTACAATATCACTTCAGCTTGCCTACATCATTAGTTCCTTTCCCCATGTCTGCTTTTCTTTTTTCTTTTTTCTTTTTCTTACATTTGTGCTTCATGTGGCAGCAGCTCAGGAGAGTGGTGGGTGTAAAAAAGGTCTTGAGCCACATAACACCCACAATGTCATGACAGCATTTAGCAGTTGGAAGGTGAACGCTGAACAACGTGAGTGGCAGAGCATGTGACAGAAAATGGATATCCATGGGCTTCAGGGCCATTAGTTCATTTAACAAGAAGTGAAATTCCTCAAGGGAGCACGGCGTGAAAAGGCCTGTGATTTACAAAGCGATGGTGTCGGGGTGACGTCAGACCGTTGAGTTTTTTCTCTGTTTTTAAAGTTAGAGACAGTCATGTTTTAAAATCAATAAAAGGTTTATTAGAAGAGCAATGGATCAGTTTCCCTTTAACTCAGAGTCCATAAAGTGATGGACTTGAGGAAACTGACTAAAACATTCACTGGTGTCAGCAGTCCAGCCATCAAATCAAATGAAATCTGGCATGTGCTATTGTGTTAGAGTCCCCAGGTGCAATTTTTCTGCTTTCTCCACTGACCCAGCTAAACCTGCCATTTGCTGCAGCTTCCTCCCGTTGAGGCAGACCTTTACTCCTGATGCGCCCGAGTGTTACCCGCCTCTGTACGTTGTGGACATCACACAAATGCATTTGTTATCCACTTGTACAATTTATTGAGCTGTCAGAGATGAGTGGGCCTGCAAGGCCACGAAAAGGGCCTGTCAGGTGGAAGATGGAGAGGGAAGCTCTGTGGCCCTCCATCTCTTCCACATCACTGCAGAAAAAAGAATTTCTGTCAGAGCTGATAGATTATGGAAGTGGGTACAGGTGGTTCATAGGAAATGGCATTGAAGGCAAATCCTCTTGTTCAACAGGAAACCAGTGAGAAGTTTTAGTTTTATGTTGGCCTTAAAGACACAGGCCTGGAGACCAGTTGACAACCTCCTGGAAATCTCTGTTTGATAGTGAAGCATGTGTGTTCCTCAACCAGTTGTGAGTGGTTGTTGGAGGTTGCCAGCAGTTGCTGTGAAAGTAATTGATAAAGTCTTATGTATGAAAGTCTAGAAACTGATCGGTGACCCAATAGTAAACACTGGTTACTAGTGAAAAGTGTATAGTTCAGTTAAGCTAGTGATCACAACTGGTCACTAAAGGTATACAGAGGTGCACCAAAAGCCTCGCCAGTAGTTACGGGAAAGACATCAGCTTGTCTACAAAAACTTGCCAAGCAATAGTGAAACTGAAAATCGTAAAAAGAATAGCGAGACTGTTGCTTTTCGAAGTAAAAGTTGTGCAAAGTAAAAGTTTTCTGCAATCAACACATTTCAAAAGATGCAACTTTTACTTCGAAAATCAGTTACCGGTTTATCAGATACTAGAAAAGTTTAGAATTATGATTGCTTGCAGATTGGACAAGTTGAAAATATTCAGAACTTGTAGACAAACATTGCAATCTCCATTACAGATGCATTTTTACTTGTTTCTCTCTTCCAGAAATTCATCCACTGTGCAAAAAGTGCATTGTATTCAGTGTACTACTTGAAAGACCGCGTCTTCTCAAGGCACTCCAAATATCAGGTCAGAAGTCTACCAATCAGCGCTTTAAAAGAGAAATACTATGCATATCATTTATTCAACTCTTTGTTTGTCTTGTTTGTCTTTATGC